TATTATAATTTTTTAGATAAAAATAATAATTATTTTTAATAAATATCAATTATTAAAAATAAAAAATAAAAAATAAAAATTTTACGTAACATGAATAAAATATTATTTTTTTTCTTTACGGGTATTATTTTTTTAAAATAATATAAGTAAAAATATAAATTTAAAGGTAAAATAAAAAAATTTTAATTCAAACTGATGGACCATCTAATACTAGCAATTTACGTAATATTTTGGGAATATCCACGTTTGAGCTGACGCCCGACTTCTTCAGACTTGAAAACTTCTTCCCTACCGTTAGATCCCACAATTTGCTGTTGTCTCCAGGCGGACAAGTCAAACAGCCGGAATGGCTATAAAATCCTAGCTGCAGGGCTGGCGTCACTAAAAAATCCAAAATCAAAAAAGCTATTGCTTAACTCTGACTTTAGGAACACAACAATTAAACGCACCATCAATTTTCCACATAATACACTGTACAGTTGGCCGGTCTAAAATTTCAAGGTCTAAGTCTAAGTGCCCCATTATCAAGTAGTGCAAAATTTATGTTTAAGATTTAATTTTGTGCAGCGCTGTGAATATTGATAAAAATTAAAGTTTTTTGTTTTAAAATTTAAATTATGTCAAAATGTAAAATATAAGTTATTGGATGAAAAATAACCCTTAGTATTAATAGTATATTTGTTTAAAAAAAAATAAAAGAAATGAGAGAGAAGAGAAATAGAAGGAGACGACATCCTTTTGTTTTTCTCTTTTTCCCTCCCCTCTCATCCTCTCATTTAAAAAATTGAATTAAAAAATTCTCCTCCTAAAATTTTTGCTATTCAAATAGAGAAATTTTCACTCCTTCCGTCCTCTTCCATCAAATCAAATATATTATAAGAAATTCACATTTTTATATAATAATTTAAGTTGTATAATTCAAATAATGCAACATTTTTTTCTTGTAAAAATTAGTATTATTAATATGTTTGTGGTTTAGATGAACTCAAATATGTACCCTCAATTATTAACATTCAAATAAAAATTGATGAACTCAAATATGTACCTCGCACATAATTCTATTCCATCTTTATTACTTGAGAAAACCATGAATAAAAATTATTATCTTTGTATAATAATTCACAACTCATCCTTTAAAATGACTTAATTAGTTAAGAACTTAAAATTTTAAGTAAGAAATTTTAAGTTTAAATTTTAAGTTAAATAAAAAAAAAAAAAAAAAAAAAAAAAAGAAACATATCCCTTTTACATAACTAATAATAATATGTAAAAAAATATATATTTACATATATATATATATAGTCATAACCTCTAAATTGCAGTCGGACCAAATGAACTGCGGTCAAGAGAATACACCCACTTGTACAAAGTCGACTTGGAAGTCAAGAGTGCCGTGGATCATGGGTAAGAGGTACTCGTCGTTTTATGTGAAGCATAGACTAGGGTGCTATTTGGCTTAGCTCTTTCTAAGTAATTTTCATCAAGTTAAAAACTCATATTTTTTATCTTTTGAAATTTAGTTTTATTCATGAAAAGCTAAAATTTTAGAAATAAAAACATAATTTGTAAGCAAGTTTTCGATAAAAGTGAGGTTTGGAACTTTTTGAAAAACTTACGTATAAACTTTTTTTTTTTTTCGCTAAAATTCTCCTTTCCTCCAAAACTAATTTAACCTTAATAAAAATGACTTTATGCTCAATGACTTTTTTCAAGTGATAATTTTCTTTCCATCCAGAAGTGAAGGCTTTGATTGCGCATCATGATGGCATCTCAGTGGCGTTGCAAAATAAGGAAGGAAGCAGCCAGTATAGATTTTTTTTTTTTTTTTTTTTTTTACAATTTAATGAGAATTGCATTCATAATATAATTTTTTCAATAACTAACATAGACCTTTCCTCCAAAACTAATTTAACCTTAATAAAA